AAAAAAAAAAAAAAAAAAAAAGAATTAGTAGTATTCTATTTCATGGCTGGAGACTATTCATGCTGAAAACCCTCCTAGAGATGTGCGAGGAGAATGTGAAGTTTATCCCTAAGTCAGGAAGACTACATTGGTCTAAGGCAATGCAGACAAAGACAATGAAACAGTCAATTAAGATAATCATTAGAATTAAAAAAATGCTTTAATCAATAGTAGTAAATACTTAAAAGGAATTTAAAAAACAAACTTCATTAGTTTCAGTGCTCTTAGGAAATTGCGAAAATTAATTTAGTTCTTTATCAATGAACATTTTCCAAATTATTTCTAACTTGCATGAGTTAAGTGGTGCCATTTGCTCAGAAGGTATAAATAAAAACAGGTAGTAAGGCTTCTGAGTGTAAAAACTATGAATTAGGACATATATTTATGTCCTCTAAAAACCCAAAGAACCATACAAACGAAGCAAAGCTTAACACGCACACTTGTACACAGGTTCGAACCTTGCTGGTGTGAAAACAAACCTGCAGCGTCAGAGGCCCTGAACTCTGCAGGGTCCCGCCCAGTGTCCCAGTGCTGAGCGGGAAGTGGCTTCCATACTGTACTTCTCACTCCTGCCACTTCCCCCACAAGTACCCTCTCCTTCAGCGCCTCTGTGTCGCCACTGACTCTCCCAATACTCTGGTGCAAGGAAAGGAGGGCCTGTCTGGTGAACGAATGTCTGCTGCGGCCCCAGATCCCCGTCCCCCGCCACAGCCTCTGTTCATCTCTTACCCACCAGATACCACTCAGTAGCTTGGGTGCAAGCTGGACACAATCTCCAAAGGGGATACTAGGTGGAACGTTAAAGCAAAAGCCTGGGGTGGAGGGAGGCTGCAGTTCTATTAGACAGATAAAAATAAACAGCTGTGAGAGTGAACCACAGCAGCTGACGCCCAGTCCTCAAACCAGCAGACATGCTTCTAATTCCACACTGGGAGGAGCATTTTAAAAACTGGTCCTAATGCCACGGGATAAGTCTGGAACCTACTCTCAGGCGGGCAACTCTCCTCTACTACTTCCCTGTGCACTTTCTCTAGACCACAAGCTCTTCAGGGCAGGAGGTGCTGCTGAGCTCCATGTCCCCAGAACCGTGCTATGCACACTGAGCTAGTTTGCTGGACTTGGTGAGTGCTCAGTAGTTTTTAGGAAAAAAAATACAAAATGTCAGGGACCAGGTGCAACAGCACCTACTTTCTGAGTGACACAGCAACGTGGGCAGTGCAGAGCGTTCCCATCACAGCAGGGCCAGCTGAGGTATCTTCCGTTCTGGGGAGGACACACTGTAACAGACCAAGCCAGTGGCCAGAAGTAGAACAGGACACACACTGTGTGAAAACCGCTTTCGAGGCTGCTGCTGAGACAGACGGCACTGAAGCCTATGTCTGAGCATGTGTTTACTGACAGATTTTTCAGCTGTGTTTTCTTAAAAACCAAACCAAACCACTTAATTCAATAGCTTCTTTTGTGATGTTCCTAAACCATACATAGACTGTTCACTCATCTCACTGATAATAAATGTTAACTTCTCAACACCCCGAGTGCAGTGAGTCCTGGAGAGTGTGGGCTTGTCCGGCAGAGCAGGTGCTGGCTGCTCCCCACTCACACCTGAGGAAGGAAAAGGGCCTTTCATACCTGTCATCATGAGAGGCAATTCTTTCTCCAAACACCATCCGGGCAGGAGTTAAAGATAATATTCCGAGCTCCTGGAGCTGGGTTAAGAAGTGTTGTTCTGTTCGTGGAATAAGTTGGATACACATTCAGAAAACGGCTATCTTCTCAGATATGTAAATAAATGAAAATATACCCAAGTGTTTCACTTGTAGAGTAATAAAAAGCTTTTTTCCTACTGACTCAATTTTACTAACCCACTGGGAAGGAAAAAAAAATCAAGCAAGACCCACACTGTGGCAAGTGCAATGACTAGCTATTTTTAAAAACACAGAAAGGTTCGATTCATTTGCTTCTTAAATTAAGACAAGTAAACCATCAACTTATATTTAAGGAAACCTGCTGTCAAGAACTTTTTCAGAGTCACATTACGAGAAGTGGAAGACAGCAGGACAAGAATACACAAGGGGCAGGGGCAGGGGCAGGGCGAGGGACCAGCTGCTTGGCCCACTCCCAAGGAAGGCCCCTCTTGAAAATCTGCCTGCTGCTGGCCTCCTAACTTCTCTTGTCTGTACAAATGTTTACTGGGTTTCATGGGGGTGGATGGTGACACAGGAGACAATGGAGCCAAAGCCACACTTCAGAAAACCAGCAATGGGCAGAAGCAGCTAAAAGCTCAGGGCTTTTCCGAGTCCCACCCCTGCTCCCAGCGTGATGGTGCTCACGACTGACTCAAGCGGACGGCCCGGCAGTGCTTTCTGTCCTAGAGCTGCACAGTATGTAAGGACCAGAAGACTCTGTCAGTACCTAAGTGCAAAACTAACTACAGTGGGTGCATCTGCTCATTCCTCATGGACCTTCTGTTCAAACAAATACGCTCTTCAAAATGAGAGAAGTCGGGAATACTTGGGAAATGTGTGGTTTGACCATTTCCACCTCACTAGTGACTAAGTTTCACTTCCTGTTTAATGTGTTGGGCAAGTCCTGTCCTCACCCTCCCTCCCTCCCTCCCTCGAATCTACCTTTTATTTCTAAGTGAAGACACAAATAATCTGAAGTTTCTCTGGAACACTTCATGACTGATACTAAGTTCGAATATTTCATGTATGGCCTGAAGGTCAGCCACAAAATACTTCACAGTTAACAGAAACTGATTCATATTAAACCCTTAACGGGCTGTTAAAAAGACATTATGTTTAAAGGTAACAAATTTATCAAATGACCTAAAAAATTCTATCTGAACAGTCAGAAACCCAGATAAATGGAAAGACATATTTTACTTTTTAGAAAGTAAAAAGAAAACTTTTGTGATGTGATGAACTCAAACATAACTTTCCGTATAAGCAACTATGTTAATTTTCCACCTATCCTCCCTCCAAGGTCCCCTGCGGTGAGTCCCTCTGCTGTCCATGGCCCAGGGCTCTATGCCCAGCAGCCATGTGCTGTAATTCTGAGCCAACTTGTCAAACATCTAGTTAGCAACCTAGAAAAACCCAGTTCGTCTCACCTGTGACATTAGGATCCCGTCTTGTTCTCCACTGAGGGACAAATACAGTGATGTTTCTGTTGCCAAGCTTCCAAAAATACTCAACTGCAATTGCAATTCCACGGCAAGAAAAGAACTTCTTCAGACCGTGGCTGTAAGAAAACAAATTTTATTTTAGTTTAAAGCGTATCAAATGTCACTATGAATAAAGATAAAATCCACACACAAAATTTCTCTCTTCCTTTTTTTAAAACATTTTTTGGCATTTAGCTGCCCACTACTACTTTGCAAAGTTGAGCGGCACGCACCGTGGGAGACATTCTCTCATCACCTGATTACGATTTTTCTTGCATTTTGTTTAGCTGATGTAACTGGGACGCTGCTGTGGTAGAAGGGCTGTGTGACTGTGAACTTCATGCTCATACCTGCTTACTGCTTTTTTTTTTTTAAGAGCCTACTCTACTGGGAAAAAAATATTATTTTTAAGTCAATGGCCTCTGAAGCATTTTTTAATTAATTTTATTAAGAAATTGGTTGCTGATGCAGAAACAACTTAGTAGCTGTACTGACTGATGCTCAGTCTGTGACGGAGGACAGGGTGAAGATGTGGTGTGGTCATCAGCACCCCCACATCCAAGGCTGCAGCCGCCAGGAGACAAGTTGAGGGCAAGAGTGAAATGAATCGGGTCCAGTGCAGCAAAGGGACAGGAAGTCAGAGGAGAGGGAGGTGGCCAACAGAGGACCTGTGCCTAGAGGTACTTCCTAGAGCAGGGGCTGCAGTTCAGTCCTGAGGGCATCTGAAGGAGCCAGGAAAGGGTCTCTATCCGATGCAAGCAGAATCCAGGGGAAACAGATAAAGAAGCAACAGAGGATTAAAAATGCACTTCCCTCCTCCAAATCCAGTGACACTTGTCAAAAGAAAAGAAGAAAAATATTCAAATTTTATTCTCCAGAAGTAGAGGTAAAAAAGAAGAATGTTTGATAAGTTTAAAATTCTGGAGGTAGTAATCGGTGTGTCTACTCATGAGTAAGTATTAAGAAAGAGAACAAAAATCAAAATCTCAAACTGTGATGCTACAATTTGTGAGATTAGCATAACCTATTTTCTCTGCCTCAGCGATCACCTGTATTTGAGTGACAACAAACTGCATCTTCAGTCCTGTCTTCTCTCCACTCTAGTGCACAACATCAAAGCTGCACCATGAATATTCATTTCACTTGCAAGTGCTGTGGTAGGCACTGCTCTTACACCTTTCCCTGGCTCCTTCAAATGCCCTCAGGACCGACAGCCCCCTTTCTAGGAAGCTACCTCTAGACACAGGTCCTCTGTCGGCCGCCTCCCTCTCCTCTGACTTCCTATCGACCCTGGTTGCACAGCTGGAGGGGGATGAGCTGGATCAGGCTCCTGCTTCCTCACTCCTGTCCAGTGCCCAGTCCCTCACCCCACAGTGGTGGTGTCACCCCAATGGCACCTGCGTTCCTCGAGAGCAGGAATGGGCTGGACACTTCACAAGCACCTACCATCATGAGAGAATCAGAAAAGCTGCTTGCAAATTCTTTTGAGAGGGTAAAGTCCACTCTCTTTTTTTAGTGAACCAGAAATAAGAAACTGCAGAGGCTCTTATCCCAGAAAATATATACAAGTGAACAAACCCGTTCATGATGAAATAATTTAGGAGTGATCTGTTTATCTTAAAAGCATTCAAAATATGACAAGAATGTAGCAAAATGACCTTTGCTACTAGAAAAAAAGACTGGTCATTTTTAAAAGGGTCCCATTCAGTCTTTAAAAAATAAATCGGCCATTACTTTAATTGCTTAACAGCAAGAACAGGTCTAAAATTAGCGTCACCCACGGCCCTAAAACGACCATTTCACAACACAGAAGCTGACTCTTAAAAAACCAGGGGCCACGTCCGTCTGGTCCTCAGAGTGAACACTGGAGGTGCTGAAGAAGCTTCCGAAGGCCCTTCTCGGCTCTTCAGTACATAGGCAACTGTGCTCTGTGGCCTTTTCCTCTTTTCTTTAAATGCACCTGCTGATAGCAACAGTGCAAACTGGACCAGTTCCACTCTACTGGGTCACTAAATAAAAAGGGCAGAAATGCAGAGAGATGAATTCTGCTAACTTAGAAAGCACAGAGAGAAATAAATGGAGCTTCAAGAAACATGAGCTCTCAAGTTCTGAAGTGTTACTCCCAGTGACATCATTTTTAATACTCTGAAAAATCTCCAGAGCTGCAGATTCACCCAGAAAATAAAAGAAAACAAGGGGAGCCAAATTATTGCCCTTAAATAAATATGGAAGGTCCACTAGGGCCCCTTCTACTTCAAGTCCAACACCCTGACCAGGCGGACAGGAGCTTAATCACCACTGACTCCTATCTTCTCTGCAATCAAACCAGAGCAGCTTGTTGACAGATAAACCCCGATCAACTGCCTATTTAGACCCAGAGACAAAGTCTGGATGCAAAGTTTATGAACATCTCTCTACCTACGGGACAGCTGCCGCTCTGGGTCCCCAGCTCCGAGTGCAGAAAGGACTAGCTACTGGTCATGGAAAGCTGGGTGTTCAGGCTCTTCAGAGAGATTTAAATTCCTGTTTCCATACAATTGGAACAAGTTATATCATCAGTTTGTTTCCCAAATTATAGCAGGCAGTTGACCAAAACGAAGATGGGTGACACAGAGCTGATAAAAACTCAGGGTGCGTGGGGCAATAGTGGAAAGCCCTTTCTGAACTACCATGAAAAAGTCGCTTCCTTCTGTAGCTTCCACTTCGTAAAAACAGGCATGGATGGAACCCTGACACACAAGACCAGCACAGAAATGGTTAAAACACACAGTTCTAGCAAGTGAAGGGGCGCATCTCATCAAGGTGGAAACCAGCCCCCTGGATGAGTCAGGTGCTCTCAGGTTGGAGTCTCAGACTGACAAAGCTGGTATCTGGCTGCCTCTGTGGGGTCCAGCCACACACCGCAGACAATTTCCACTGACTCATCACTTGACTCATTCATGGTGACAAGAGGGAAAAACCAAGTGAAGATATGTATTAACATAATTGGCAGCAGTAAGCAGAGCATTCTGGAATTTCTCACGGTGTGCACGAGCCATAGACATTACACCAGATCGGCAAATAAACAAAGGCTTTGCAGGAACACAGGGACGGTGAGTCCAGGCTGCTTCAGGGTGGGGCTCACACCAAAGGATCCTATTGCTTAAGAACTCAAATTTCCTTTTAACTACTTCCCCCAACTAGTTGAGTCAAATGAGTGAGGTCTACTCACCAGATCTTATGCAACCCCAGACGTAAGTATCCAATGAGGCCAAGGCCTGAAAATCCCAACCACAACTGCTGTGGGAGACAAGGTGTGTTCGTGGGGGTTTTGGGAAGAGACATTCTGGGTGCAAATCTCATTATCTGTGTAACCCTGGAAAAGACTTTTAAGCCATTTCACGCTATACATACATTATGCCTTTTTCCCTCACACAGTATGAATACTATGTTTTAAAAATACAGTGCCTGATACACAACAAGGTGTTCCAGCTTTAAGATCCCGAATATTTGTGGAATTAAATATATGGCCTAAGTTAAAATGTAATCTAAATTGGTCACTGGAATAGCAACCATGAAGTCACGAATGAGTTGTAAAAACCCACTTAAAGAATTCGAAGCTGAGCACAGCAGTGCTGCCTGTACTTTCAAATACCAAGGAGGTTGAGATGGGAGGATTGCTTGTGGCCAGGAGTTTGGGTCCAGCTTGGGTAATAAAGTGAAACTCCAAAAAGAAAAGATCCCAGTCTATCTTTAAGTCTTTAATTCATCTATTCACCAACAAACCTTTATTGAGTAACCTACTGTGTATCAGGGGCAGTTCAGTGAGTAAGACAGGTGGGTCCAGGTCCTTCGTGGAATTCCATCTAATCTAAATCACACTAAACATTAAATCAACTGTAAAATAAGTGTTGGTATTTTTTCCAACTTAAAAAATGTTATTGAGTTCAAATTCACATGATATAAAATAACCATTTGACAGTGACCAAGCCAATGGCATCTGCTGAGGTCACAATGCTCGGTGGCTGTTGCTTTCATCCAGTTCCCAAACATTCCTTCACTCCAAAATAAAACCCCATGCCCGGCAGGCAGTTTCTCCCCTAGAATAGGGTTAATATTAACGACTGATACTTTCAGATCGATCTACACCATTAAGTGTAAGTCTGTCTTTCTTCTGTGAAAGTACTGCTTTTAAACTGAGACATCTGCGAATTCGAAGAAAATGCAAATCCTCCCCAAATCATCAGTTTTCAAAAAAATTAATGAAAATCAGCTTGCACATTTCCCCCTAGGGCACTAAATCAGTGGTTTTCAAGAGACAGTACTGCACTCCAGCATGTTAGGAAATGGGTGGGTGTCACAATGCCTGGGAGGGACACTGTGGGCAAAGGGGAGGGGACGGGGCACAAAGCACTTCCTGTCATGGGCAGGAGCCCCCACGCTGAGCCCAACAGTGACCCCTCTGAGAAATGTGTTAGCTACTACTCCAAAAGGGCTTTTAAAGTATCATTATCACTGTTCATTCTAAGCTCATTTGCATTTCTTATTCTTTGAACACCAATTTTGAATATCTTTCCACATACAGAAAAGTGAAAAAGGATTAGTATTACTCACAATGATGACCTAAATTTTATACCATCACTTGGCTCAAGAAATCTTAACAATGAAGAACTAGTGCTGGGCTTGGACTATCCACGGGTGACTGAAATTAGGTTTTACGTTTTTACTTAGATAATTCTATGCAGCTATGGGTCATATGCTGGGTTTCCCCCAATAGGGCTGCCAAAAACCCAAACTGAATTGACAACAGTATTAACTTTGAAATGAAGATGGGCAGATTGTACCTTTTTAGTTTGTCTTTCAAACTTTAACCTCTGAAATGCTAGATTTCCTTTTTTCTTTTTAACAGCAAAACACAGCATCAATAATTCATTCAAACAATAAAAAGAAAAGAATCCTTATATTTAAAAAAATACATACTAAAATATTTATAGATGAAATAATATATGGAGGTTTCCTTCAAAATATGGTAGACTCTCCATAGCTGACCACCTCCCCCCACTGACACCCTCCTTAAGTTGACCTAATTTTCATAGACTGGACCTGCACCACAATTACGCATCAGTGTAGGAGGCCTAGTCCCCTACGGTCACCATCTCCACAGGTGGACCAGTTTGTTCCAGTTCTGTGGGTGTCAGGTTACAGATGTTCTACTGGACTGGGGGAGTAAGGCAGGAGGTGAGGGTATGGTTGAAAACAAGACTGGTCATGAGTTAACTGGTAAAGCTGGGTGATGAGTCCATGGGGATTCATTATACTACCTTACGAATTTAAAAGTTCTAATAAAAACACCACAAAAATTTACAAATGGTGCTTTCCTATCTTGAGTTCAAATATAGCAAACTGTGGCCTGACTTAATACGCAAACAAACTACAGTCTAACTCTTGTCCCAGCCAATCACGGGTTGAGAACCATGCGACCGTGCCCAAAGAAGGTGAATCCAGGGCTGGAACCAGTCAGGCTGCTGTGTAGTCCCTCCCTTTCCCGTCTGTAAACACTGCCTGCCCACATTGCTGGGTGGGGCTTTGAACCTCTCTGGGTTCAGGGTCCTGCCTGCTTGATTCATAAATCGTTCTTTGCTCACATAAAGTCTGCCAAATTTAATTTATCTAAAGTTTTTCTTTTAACAACAAGGTGACTGGCTTTCAGAAAAAGAAGGCAAACTTTACCTGGCAGTTGTGCAAATGGCATGATAAAGATGATCTTACGGGCAGGTCAAAAGGCAACAGAAACTCAGAAGTATGAAGTGACTGCAAACCACACAGCGGGTCCACGGCACGGTAGAGACTGCCTCTCCTGCTATTCTAAGCAATACTCAAGTACCCCTTACGGAAAAACCCAATCCCAAGCCACAGGTATGAATCAAAATGCTCAGAGGGGTCTAGGATGGGCTTAACACAAATGATGGTTCAACCCTTTGACTAAAAACAAATATTACACACTTCCAGTAAGAGCAGAGGCCTACAGTGAAATTTAAACTGACTAATTTTTTACAATGGAAACTGATATTGCTCTATCAACATAAAGTACATCGAACCTACTACCACTGCACATTCTTGGCCAGAGAACAGGCATATTCCAGTGTAACACAGAAAAATGTCTTTTTTACCTGAACCTCCCCATCCTCATTGAAAACCTAATGGTTTTCACAGTATCAAGACCCTAACTTAAAAATCTGTGTGCATCACTGGGCAATGTAACGTGAAAAGATGAATTTTCTATCATCTCTTGCCCTTAGATCTAGAAGTTCAGCAGGATGAAACTACGTTTATGACTCCAGAAGATGGAATGGAAACCTTTCCAACCAGTTGGTTTTCCCCCAGGTCAGGTTACAGATCAACTATACACGTGCATGAGGTAGTTCTCACGTACGTATGTAATTCATCGACACTGCCAAAGTCCTATAAAGTAATTTGCAAAGTGGACTCACGTAATTGCAACATTGCTCCCATCTATCACAATGTGCTTCAAATCCGTTCTTCCTGGTTCATTTTTTAATTCCAGTTTGTACGGTACTTTTAGAGTATCTCGAAACCTCTGAACCCCTGTAACTGAGCAATCAATATAATCAGAAGGTCCTGCCAACTTTGCGTCCATAAATGAAGGCAGGTGCTGGGGCAGCGGCATTGGTGGAATGAGAGGTGGACAATTTGGCTTGGACTGAGGAGAGCTACAACATCCTGAGTGTTTTTCACAGGGAGGTTTCATAGTATTTGGACGCAGGGGTTCTGTCTGATGCTGCAAACCATTTTCAGGAAAAGCTGGACTTCTGGGCTGGTGACTCAACGCTCCCCTTGAAACAAAACTGACTTCTTTGGGACTTGATGGGGCAACAGAAGGCAAAAGGCCATCAGCTTCAAGGTCCACGTTACAAACATAGCTCCGGTTTGGAGCCCACATGTCACGCTTCGGTTCTACTGGCACTGTTCCCACAGTATTAGTTGGCTGTGTGTGAGTCTCTGTCTTCTTTGGAGTTGAATCTGTTGTAAGCTCATTTTCACTGCTACAAAAACTTTTACCTTTGCTTTTGTTGGTCTCTGAATACACAGTACCAGGTGAAAATTCTCTGTCTTCTTGGAACCTTTTATTTTCTTTTTCAATTTCTTCTAAGAGCAATAATGGTTCAGTAGATGGCCCATATTCTCTAATAACCTTTTCAACAATTTCTTGGGAATAGCCCATGGTTTTAAAGAAGTTTACGAGGATGTTGTACTCCATTTCCTCAGTGGTGTCTTTTACATCTAGACTTAAGTTTTCGGAAACGGTAGAAGACTCAGACAGGTCAGTGATGACATTTCCAGCTGATGTCTTACCCTCAGGTAAAAGCTCCCCCTCTGGAACGTTTTCCAGAGAAAACTGCTTCTTGGTATGTCTTTCTTCAGAATCAGAAAATCTCCTTTTGTGACAAACCCTGTCCTTGGAAAGCACTTCTTCACTGGGGGTGAGGCCGTTTACTGGGACACAAAGCACACCTGGTGAGCTAGAGAAGACTGTGTCCATTTGTTTTGTAAGCTCAGACACAGGAGTCCCAGCTTTACTTCGTGCATCTTCCTGCAAAACAATTCCATCCCTGGAAACATTCAGCCCTGTGGCAGCATTCTGTGTCAACTCTGCTTGTTGAGAATCTCTAATTTCAATAACATTATCATCTCCGGTTTCAAAGAGACTCTCCTCACCTTGGGTGAGTGTCAAAAGTTCTTTTTTCAAGGAAGTGGGCAAAATCAACAAATCCATTGTATAATTGTCTGCCCGGGCTTCAACAAATTGTCTGAATTCCCTTTTCACCTCTGATTCTTTCTGACTGCTGGGTAAGTTCTCATTATTCTCAAAGAGCTTTACAAACTGTTGAATGTGACTTCGAGCCATGACCACAGCCTCAGCACTGCCTCTGATGCCAAGCAGCCCAATGTCCAGAATGCAGAGGTCAGCACAAGTATCCTGAATCAAGCTCTTCAGAAACAGGCTCTCTGCTCCAACAAAAATACAGTGCATGGCCTTGGGGTAACATTCTCTTTCTTCTAGTTCAGGTTCACAGATTCCTTTAATGTATTCCTATAAAGAGAAGAAATTAGATCAATTTACAAAAAACTCCTTACAGCACAAATTAAATTATAGATGTCGATACAGAAATGGATTTTTAAAAATATCTATAAAGAACAAACATCTTTGCTTGCCATTGGTTACTACTGATACAGCTTTCCCCCATTCAAGGCTGGACAGGGGACCCCAGTTTTCCTAGGCCTGGGCAATTTCATGAAGCCATGACCTTTTGCCCTGAGCTGAGAGGACTACACTCATTCATTGATAACACTGAAAATGTGTTTCCATTTGCCAAGTCCTGGCCAAGTGTAATTCTCAAGACCAAATACCCCTAGACAAAGAGCCCATGTAGAGACTTCCCAATTGGGTCTTTCCCTTTGCCAGAAGCTCTGGTGCTTTTTACTCCTCCTGTATTCCCTTCTATCTGATAAAATCCTACCTTACTACTGATCTGTGGTCCGTGGGTTTATTCTTCAAATCCCCCAGACCAAGGACCTACTGAAGAAAGAAATTCTGGTAACACTATTACACCACAACACAATCAAGAGGTAAGAGAGTGATGTTCACTTCACTACCACCACCCCTGGTTTTCAGATACAACAAAAAAATACCTGGTTCCCAGATACCTTGAAGGCATTTAGAAAGAGTAAGATTTTTTTTTTTCTTTTTTCTTTTTTTTTGAGACAGAGCCTCAAGCTGTCCCCCTGGGTAGAGTGCTGTGGCATTACAGCTCACAGCAACCTCCAACTCCTGGGCTCAAGCGAGTCTCCCGCCTCCACCTCCCAAGTAGCTGGGACCACAGGCGCCTGCCACAACGCCCGGCCATTTTTTGGTTGCAGCCATCATTGTTGTTTTGGCGGGTCCGGGCTGGGGATTCGAACCCGCCACCTTTGGTGTACGTGGCTGGCGCCCCAGCCGGTTGAGCCATAGGCGCAGAGCCGAAAGAGTAAGATTTAACAAAAAACATTTTTTCTAGCTGGTTGGAATACTCTATATCCTGTATAATTTTATGTCTCTTTTCTAAAGAAGACCAGACTGCTTAAATTAAACGCAAAACTAACAGAGCTGGAGAGGCTGAGCATTACTGATGCTTCAGACCCTGGCACTGAAGGGAGCCAGTGAGCAGCAAGAAAAGGGCCCGGGCTTGTAACAGTCAGGTTGTTACTGGAGGTGGAAGCAAGCACCCACACACACATCACACACAGACTGGGACACATCTGTTAATAACCCTGGCTCTCAAGTCAGTGTCTCAGTCTCAAATTCCAGACATTAAATAGTTCAATTTACCTAATCCTTCTAAGCTCAGTTTCTCCAACTATGAAAGAGATAAGTAAATATGGCGCAATTGCAGGGGTTTTGAAGGAATTCAAAGAGACAACACGCAAGTCCTGACAACAGTGCCTTGTACAAAATAAATGCTCACTAAAGACTAACAACACTGTTACATCAGCAAAACGTTCTGGACAGACTTGTAAGAAATGAGCCTTGTGATGTCTGAACTATAAAGTTAGAATGGTATTACCAAAAACGATGGTATTTAGAAGTTTAACCTGTGCAGCACAGCTAGAGGCTTTGTAAGATTTCACTTGCTATGCTGACGGCCCTACTTCTTTTAAGTTAGAATTTATACTGAGATATGTGCATACCTATTCCCCGTGCATCTATCATCTGGAACTGAAATATGTCACAGAGCAAAAGTGCTACCGGAGCAGCATGGCGCTCAGCCATGATTTCCTCGTTGCCTATCCTTCTGAATGCACCTGCAGTGTCTGTGTCCTGAAGAAGCATGGAAACAACTGGCGATAGGACAGTCTGCTATTTTTGTCAACACCGCAATTGAGTTAAACACAAAGTAACTTATCATCCCCATTTCATGAATGCTCAGCAGTGTCAGACACTGCTTATCACTTCAGATCTTCACTGGCAACAGCTAGCTATCACTTCTTTGAAATTATGCTGCATTAAGATTGTGACTTTAAGGGTTTTTTTAAACATTCTATTTTGAAATAATTACAGGTTCACAAGAAGTTGCAAAACTAGTACATAAAGATGCGGTGTGCCCTTCACCTGGCATCCTCTCATCATTTCATTAATATAATAGTATCAAAATCAGGATATTTACATTGTAAACTGTTACATGGTTCTGTGCCACTTTATCAAGTGGCTTTGTGAAACTACCATCTCAGTCAAGACACAGAACTATCCCATTGACACAAACACTTCCTTCTCAATACCCCTTTATAATCAGGCTTCATCACCCACACCTTCCATCTGGGGCTCCTAGCAACCACTATGTTTACCACTTTGCAACCTCTAGAATTTTACATAAATTATATAACGAGACTTTTGAGGCTGGCATATACTCAACGTTAATATGTATGAGTTTTTTTAACCATATACTACTGACTTCCTACTTGGAACTATTAAAAAATAAAACTACTGGTTTGGCACCTGTAGCGTAAGCAGCTAATGCACCAGCCACATACACCAGAGCTGGTGGGTTCAAATCCAGCCTGGACCTGCCAAACAACTATGACCAAAAAATAATAATCATAGAAATAAATAAATAAAATAGGGCGTTGTGGTGGGTGCCTGTAGTCCCAGCTGCTTGAGAGGCTGAGGCAAGGGAACTGCTCAGGAGTTGGAAGTTGCTGCGATGCTACAGCACTCTACCAGGGCGACAGGTTGAGGATCTGTCTCAAAAACAAAAAACAACTGCTATGAACAATCATGTGTGGGTTTTTATGTGAACTCCAGTTTTAATTTCTCAAAGATAAATGTCCAGGGGAGCAGCTGCTGGGTCATACGGTGTGTGCTTATCTATACACCCTCTTTAGCAAAGTGTCTGGGTTTTCCCTTTGTCCATTTTCTAACTGGACTGTCTGCATTTTACTACGGAGTTTTGAGAGTTCTTATTCTAGGTATGAGTCTTTTCTCAGATAGGTACAATCTGCAGGTATTCTCTTAGCTGGTAGTTTTGTTTTCCCAGCACTGTAACAGGGTGTTTTGTGACACATTGTTAATTGTTGTTCTATGTTCAGTAGAGATGGGGTCTTGCTCTTGCTCAGGCTGGTTCCCATCTCCCGAGCCCAGGCAATCCACCCACCTGAGCCCCTACAGAGTGCCAGGACCACAGGTGTGAGCCACCGTCCCTGTATGTTTTTAAGAACACTCAGTTAATTTTTTCTTAACCAAGTCACAGGTCCTGAAAATTATTCTCTAAGCTTTCTATTTAAATCTATGACCCATTTTGAGTAGTTTTGTATACAGTATGATATTTAGGTTGACATTTTGCAGGTTGCTGGGGCACTTTTCTTGAAGAGTATCCTTTCACCCTGCTAAGTGCATCTCTATCAAAAATCAGCGGGCCATCCTTGTGTGGCTCTACTTCTGGTTCCTATTCTGTTCCATCAATCTATAGAACTACTTTTTCACCAGTCTCACACCATTCTGACTGCTGTGATCGTACGATGTCTTGAAACTGGATAGTGACTGTTCCCACTTTATTATTCTTTTAAAAATTGTTTTATTCTAATTCTTTTGCCTTTCCATATAAATTCTACAATTATAGTCTGTAAAACATTATCATCTTGCTGGAGATATGTCAGCAATTGTGCTGACAACTGTGTCAGGAAGGGACTTCAATAATGATGGCAACTGACACTTCCTGAGTCATCTTCTGATCCAGGAACCTGGCATGTCTCTCCCTTTATTTGCACTTTTCTTTGCTTTCTTTTTCATTAGCATTTTAAATTTTGAATATACATGTTTTGCTAGATTTATAATTAAGAATTTCATTTTTCTGAGTGATTGTAAATGGTATTGGATTTTTAACTTTGATTCCCATGTTCATTGCTAGTATTAAATTGATTTTTATATGCCGATCACACGCAACCTCCCTGAATTCACTTCTCGCTAGTTCAAGGACATTTCTGTCTGTATAACTTCCTATGAATTTCTATGTGGACAGTTACATTATCAGCAAGTATTTCTTTTCTGATTTATATTGCTCTTATTTTTATTTTCTTACTTTACTGCAGTGGCTAGAAGGTCCAGCTCTATGTTGAAGAGCAGAGGTGAGCGCTGACAGGCTTGTCACGTTTGTGATCTAAAAGGAAATTCAGTCTTTCATCATGAAGAATGACAACTAACTGTAGACAGTCTATTTATTATACCGTATTTTTACTGTATCTACAGATGTCATCACATTGAGGAAGTTACACAGTGTTCTAGGAACATGAGAACTGGAGGTGAAATTTTTCAAATGTTTTATTACATCAAGTGACCTGATCCTGTGATCTTTTTCTTCATTAGCCTGTTAATATGGTGGGGTATACTGACTTTTGACAACTAAACCAGCCTTGCATCCCTGGAATAATCCCTACATGGTAATGGTGTGTACTTCTTTTATATATTGTTGAATCTTCTGTCAAGAATTCACACATCTTTAGCATTTGTATTCGTGAGGAACTGGACAGTTTTCCCTCCTGGTTCTGTCTCCTTCTGGGCTGAGCACCAGGGTAACCAATACTGGCTGTACCTGAATTAGGAAGCGTTCTTTCCTCTTGTATTTCCTTGAAGAGATTGTATAAAATTGATATTCTTTTGAAAATACTTTGTAGAAGTCTCCTGTGAAACGACCTTGCCCTGGAGATTTCTTAACTACAGGCTATTTAAATTATCTATTTCATGATAGGTAAGTCATGGTACTTTGTACCTTTTGATGACTTAGTCCATTTCATCTAAGTTGCCAAATTTATGAATGTAGACTTGTCTGTAGTATTTCCTTATTTTTTGGATGTCTGTAGTCTGTGACAATATCCTGTTTCATTCCTGATATTAGTGATTTGTGTCCTTTCTCCTTTTCTAATATAAGAAGTATTAAGCGTCACCAATTTTCATCACTGCTTTAGCAGTATCCCAAAATTCTGATATGCTGCATTTTCATTTAAATGAATTTTCCAAAATTTCCTTTGATTTATGCATTATTTAGAAGTGTTTACTTGCTTAGT